ACTGAGGTGGGAAACAAAGGCAGAACAAAAATTGTTAAATGTCCTTACTACCTACAGCCCATTGACATGTCCTTGAAACAGGCAGACTGAACGGCCTAGGGACTCAACGGCCCCCTCAATGTTAATAATACTTTGCTAAGGGCAAAAGGCAATCCTAGCCTGACCAGCCACCTCCACCCCACCCCCAACCGAAATCCTATAAGTTTATTTAATGTATAAAAATTCCTTTGGAAACTTCCTTTATCTGTAAACCCACCAAGATATGTGTTGGCAATCATCTCCCAAGCATATGGCCCACCAGTATCCATCTGAAGGATCTCATGACTAAGGTTTTATTAGATAGTAATAAATGACCTTTTGCCAACAATAGCTAGCTAGCCCCCTCAAGATCCTGAAAACTTTGCTTCCAAATTCCTTTGAGACTTATGCTATCCCTAACCTCCTCCCAACTTGAAAGTATATAATGGGCCACCCCTCATGACCCCAGTGCAGCTCTTTCTGCCCAAGGGTCCTGTCCCCATCCTTTAATAAAATCACCTTATTGCACCAAAGATGTCTCAAAAATTCTTTCTTGGCTGTCGGCTTCAATCCCTATGTCATCTTTCTTACATCAGGTATATATTAGGCATCTGGAGATTATGCCATATAGTGGTAGTGACTATCACTATAATTCACTAGCATGAATAAGAATTCAGTTTTCTACTAATATCAATAAGAAATTAGAACGAATTGTAAATAAGCTATCTATTTCATAAAAAGTATGCCCCAAAGAGGTTTATACTCAAAAGGAATTTAAAAGGAAGAGGAAAGGGCACCTGGGTGGCTCAGTTGGTTAGCGTCTGACTTGATTTTGGCTCAGGTCATGGTCTCAGGGTTGTGAGATTGAGCCCCCTATTGTGCTATGCGCTGGGTGTGGAGCCTGCTTAAGATTCTCTCTCTCCCTCTGCCCCTCCCCCTCTCTCCTCTCTAAAAAAAATAAAAATAAAAGGAAGAGGGAAGGGAAAATAGTTTGCTAGCTTTTTAAGATTTTAGTTGATGAAAAACAAAACATTCCGCATTTAATGAAAGTACCAGGACAAATTCTCTTGCACACTGCTGTGTGCAACATTTACATAAACATGCATAAAGACATTTTACAATGTGAACATTTTAAACCCAAGGCACTTGGAGGTTGGTTGGTAAAAGTCACATTCATCATCCCTGCAGTATCCTGGTTCACTGTTGTTCTGTCTCTATAACTCAGTTCTGCCAAGTAAAGCAGCTACTCAGTACTGGTAATTATGGCTACAATGGCTGCTGAATGCAATTGATCCTGTGTGCGGCTACCTCCACATTCCTCTATAATGATGGGTGTCACTACATTTTGAATTATTAACATTAGCAATGAGAACAGGGTGTTTCAAAGGACTTGTAATAGTATACAAACAATGATATCTGTGAGAAGAAAAGTGGATTAACAAAGGAGAAATTTGCAAAATATAATAATGGCAGGGAATCCATCTGAAATATACCCTCATTTCCATAAATAAGCTACCCTAATGTCTTCTGTTAAAATAAGGACTTTACCTTAAAGGATCATAGCAAAGAAAGAAGAAAATAGAAGTAGTTAGAATACATTCTGAGTCATGGAAAGTCAAATGGAAGAAATTAAATTTAAGAATTGCCTTATTCTTAATTATTTTCAGACATTTTAATACAGCATATGCATTTTATACCCACATGAAGATAAAATCCTTACAGTCTTCTTAACCTAGCTTATAAATTTCAGGATACTTAGTGGAAGGGAAACAGAATCCTTCTTATTTCCTGGACCAAATCCAATCTCTCAAACTGGGTAAAAAGAATTTGAGATAAGAAAATAACTTGCCAAAGAAAACAGAGAGAAAGATGTCTTGTGTTCTGCCAAATAGAGGATATGCTATCAAGAATAAAAGAAGAGACTTGCTAGAACTTTGAAACAAACCAAGCTGCTACTGCTTGGTCTTGGGATGAACATGGAAAAATACAATCCTTGTATGCATGCTAAGAAGGGAAAACCCCAAATATTGCTTGTCCACATGCTCATAAGAGTAAGGAAGTCATATTTCCAATGTAACATTCATGGTAACATTTTCCACATTTTAAGAATAGGGAGTTGGACAAAGGCCAAAGAAAAGCAAAAATAAGAATGAAGGGGTAGAAAATAAAAACTTAGATTGCAATTTTGTGGACAAAATAACCATATTTCAAATTTTGAGTCAAAGTTAAATGATTTGGGCCATCATCATTTCTAAACAAAGAACAGGGGCAAACAGTCAGAAAATTGCACCTAGAAATAGATGACATTTAATATTTCCTGAAAGGAAAAAAAAAAAGGCAATTAAAATAGTACATAGTCCAGGCTAACAGGAGGTTGTGAAATGATTGGAACCTAGCAGTTAACTCATAGCTGATGTCCCTTCAACTAGCTTTCCATGCTGCCTGCTTTTTCCCATAGCCCTCTTCCATGGCTCTCTCTCTGATCTTCAGAATAATTGGGTGGTCTATAAGCTTTTAAAAAGCTGACCTTCTGCATAAAACTTGACGCCTTTCAGTTTTTATTAATGAGTAAAATTAACATTAGAAAATACAATATTATAAAATATTTAATATTATAAAGATAATATTAGAAACAAATGAGTCTGTCTCTAGATTTATAGTTTTTAAAAGGTTTATAATTTTGGCATAGTGGGACATACATACTCCACGTGACATACTGTATAGCCTTAGTCGAAATTATGCTAAGAAATAATTCACCACCATATATTTGGAGAAGTGCAGAGTTCTAAATGAGAAAAACAGTTTTTGAAGTATCACATTTAGATAGCACAAAGGTAAAAATACACATTTCAACTCAACTTTTGATCCTTAGCTAAGGGAAGGGAAGCTGACCACAGGCAAAGGGAAGACAAGAAGACCATAGGCAAGGATGGTCAATGATGAACAAATAATATTTGAGTAACCACTATGTGTCAGATATTTTATATATATTTTCTTGGTAAATTTTACAGCTTTGAAGTAGGTTTAATTATCTCTATACTATACCTTTATTAAATAAAAATTATTTTCATTTTACAGATCAAGATTCAGGCAAATTGTCCAAGGTCCATAAGGTTGTGTAAATACACGGCAGAACAGGAACTCCACGTAGGCCTATCTTAAGTGTGTATTTGTTACTACCCTGGTTCACAGGTTTGACACTATTAGGACTCTGATTTCTATTATTTCTCAAAAATTTGTACTGCTTTCTGCTGTCACTGTGGTTTTAATTTAAAGGAACCGCACTTTTAAGAGACAAACTGATGTAATGTCTGTTAGCTTCGTAATTCAGAGGCAACTGCAGGTTTACATTTCTGCCTTTCTAAACCTAATTATTTTATAAAAAGTCAGCTTGCTTTTCTTGAATCACTTTTCCCCCTAACACTACTAATCAAGTTTAATTTTGAGATGTCCGTATTTTGTAAGAGGACTCCCAGGACTACATGATCTCATTTTCCTTTCTAGATATCTTAGCTAGTTTCATACGGGCAGCTTTAATTTTGAATTTTTATAATATTTTCAAAGTTCATTTATCATGGCTTATCAGTTTCTTTAGTACATAGGAGACTTGCATTGGAAGCTAAAGGGATGTTAAAATCAAATAGTTTTACCAAATTTTATCTGGTGTAATATGGGGGTCAGGTTTAATATATGGCAACTCCTTTGTTTATTGAAATTGAATAATTACCAAACACAATGGTAAAGATTATACAATAAATGATGTTTAAAGTGGAGATGTCAGGGGCGCCTGGGTGGCTCAGATGGTTCAATGCCCTCAGTTCAGGTCATGATCCTGGGGTCTTGGTATTGAGCCCGGCATCCCGCTCCTGGCACAGTGGGGAGCCAGCTTCTCCCTCTCCCTCTCCCCCTGATCATTTTCTTTCTCTCCCCGGTATCTCTTTCTCAAATGAATAAATAAAATCGTAAAAAAAAAAAAAAAAAAAAAAAGTGGATAAGTCAGATACTTATTGCTGCAGGGGTATTCTTTACGTTTCTTTCGGTAAGTGCAAAACCTCGTTTAGTAATATTTGTTTAGTATTTAATTTACTGAACAAAGAACGTTATCCTAAGTAACTATCAATATTCTGAGGCATACAAATTTAACAAAAATTCTTGAGATTTTCTTCTAAGGATTAAATCAGACTACCTATTTTCCTGTGTGACATCCCCAAATGGGCGCATTCCTTTTGGATAAAAAGACAAGAGTGTTTGGGGTTTGAGAGAAAGAAAAAGATGGGAAGGGGGGTAAAAGCATGTTTTCTAATTCACAAGACAGGGAAAAATGTGTTCAGGGCACGTCAGAGAAGAGAAATTGAATTTAAATGGTCCAAATACATTTATCCCACGCAACACTCCAGGCAAGCGGTAGAAATTTTTTTTAATTTTTTTATTATTTTTTTTTAAGCGCGTTTGGTTTTTGTTAACATCCATCAGCAAGATCTCTCTTTCACAATACTGGGAGAGGCCTGTTTGTTCCTCCACTCCCACTGTTGAAGTTTGGACAAAGTTTGAGAAACCCCAGGCACCTGCGGCTCTGACCGAAACCGACGAGGAGCACAGGGAGCGCGTCCCCTCTTTCCAGTCTTCCGTCTCCAGATTCCAGATCTTTTTGACCCGCGATGTTAACGTCCGGCTGCCGCGCCCCCAAAATAAGAGCTATTCTGGGGAGGGGGGACCTGGGTCTTCACCGACGTTTAGCCAAGGTGTGCCTTCCGCGGCCCAGGGGCGGGCGGCCCCTCTTCCCTGCAGGCGGCTTGCCGCCGGGCCCTAGCACCACAGAAGCGAGGCCAGAGGCCGGGACCGGTACGCGTGATCACAGCTCCGCGTCCCACCTCGCAGCCCGCGCCCCGCCGGAAGGGGGCGGGGCCTCGGGCCGGCGCGGCGAGGCCGGCCGCGGCGTGGGGTGGGGGGGGCTCCTCAGGGGCCCGGCCCGCAGCCGCGCGTTTCCGGCGCGCTCCCCCGCGTCCTGCGTCCTGTGGTCTCGTCCGCCCCCGCTGCCATGTTGGATTGTGCGGCCGCCACCGCTGCCGCTGCTGCCGCCGAAGGAGGTTTGGAGGAGGAGTTGGGAGTTTAGCGCAGTCGCCAGAGAACGAAGACAACGGCCATCCGGCCGGAGCTTAGCCGGTCGGGAGCCGGGAGCTTCCCTTTCTCTGCGCAGCCCGTCGTTGGCTCCTCCTTCCCGTGGCCTCCTCCTCCCCGCGCCCGAGGAGCTGCGAGATGCTGCGCCTCTGATTCCCCTCCTCCTACCCCTGTCACCGAGAGGGGAAAGAGCGTTCGCCTACTCGCCGGAGACGGCCCTGGACTCGCAACCCCGCCAGCGAAACCATGAGCTCCGGCCAGCAGCAGCCGCCGCCACCGCGGAGGGTCACCAATGTGGGGTCCTTGCTGCTCACCCCGCAGGAGAATGAGTCTCTCTTCACCTTCCTCGGCAAGAAATGTGTGGTCAGTGGCCGAGACCCGCGTCGCCATCCCCTCCCCGACGTTACCTCACGGGCCCGGGAAGTGGGAGTGGGGAAGAAGGCGGGAGCGGCGCGGGGAGGGTCCGGCTGCCGGCCAGGCCTCCAGCCAGCCGGCTCCCTGGGTACGGGCACTGCGGGCCGGGGCCGCCGGACACCTCCTCCCGAAGCTGCCCGTGAGCAGGAAAGTGTCACCTCCGCAGGCCTGTCCTGGAACCCTGCCTGGCCGGGCCCGGGTCTGCGCCCTTGCTGCTGGTTCAAACTTTGCTCTCAGGCCACAAGGGGATTTTATTCTTGCACGAGCTGCTCGGTCTTAAAAACCGGGCCTCTGTACTGGCCCTCACTTCACCTCCTACTGCTTGATTTGGGGGTACCTTCTTTCACAATGGCTGAGGTTCAGGAGTGGGTAGGTCAAGGAATGAAGCCCAGATATGAATGAAGAGGACCAGATTTGGGGTATTTGATCCCCCTTTAGGATCCCAGGAGGGAATGAAGTCGAGTGCATCGGTTCAGAATGAGGGCAGGAAATGCTACTGATCCCCATTTGCAGAAAACCAGCGTTTATTTCTCCAGCAATCTCGCCCAGGCCTGGTTTCTGCTCTCCTCCCCACTGATTTTTTTTTTTTCCCCATTGGTGGGAGGAGGTGCTGCTCTCCCCACAACCATGCGCAGGGGAACCGCAATCTCTAGTAGTTCTTGGCCTTTGGGGGCCTGAGAGTGATTCTTAGGTTGGTGCTGTGCGGCCTGTTCCAACCCCAGATGGCCGGTTGGGAGCAAGCAGTTCTGCTGTGGGAAGGGGAATGTGTGTTGTTGACGGAAGCATTCATTACATTGGCTGCTGGCACTTCTGGGGGTGGGGAGGTTCTGCTCTGTGGTGTAGGCCTTGTCAGGCTGCATCTTACTGCGGTGGCTGGGTTGAACTGTGGTTGAGTTTGTTCAAACGCTGTTTGGGTCCCTTTCTCCCCTCTTTTGCGTGTTAGCACCTGCACTGTCTGTGCCACGGCGACCCAGGAAACCCCTACTGAAATGTCCACAGAGCAGTACCATTTTACAACTTTTCTTAGTAGTGTTAAATATGTCAAGTTAGGCTACGTCTGCTTGTTTAAGAAGTTAAGATTAGACAATTTCTGGAAAGTTACCTATGGGTTAATTGTTAACTTTACAGGAGTCAACCTTTTGTATCCTCTTGGAGATTGAATCATTACATTTAATTCAGATGTGTTTTATATTTTGCTGATTAGAAGAATGAAATAAGAAGACTGGTTTAAAATCAATATTTTGGGAAACGACTTTAAGGATAATCAAGTCCCCCCCCACACACACACACTGCTTTTAAACAAATGAGAAAACTGAGCCAGTGAACCCAAAGTCACACAGCAGTTTCGTAATGTAACCAGAACTAGAAAACCAGGACTCCTGATGCCTAGTTTGTTGTACTTTCCACTACATCATGTTGTTTTAGAAGGGTTTTTCTCTTACTTGTTATTGATCTATTTCAAAAAGTCATGCAGAAGCAATAATCACTTCTTTTTTTTCCATCAGAACTTGATACAATTGGAGTGTGAGATTCTTAAAGCAGCACTAACTTTTGTATATTTTCAGTTTAGGAAAATCTCTGGCTCTTTAAATGTTACATTATCTGCAAATGAAAAAAATTTAAAATTTCCATGGTTTATTTTCATTTGCTATGTAATCTGTGTCAGAAAGGAAGTAGTTGTATTACGTTCTACATACCAGACACATTAACTTTAGGGAGGAAGGACATTACATTTAAACACGAGTACACTGACTAATTGCTCTCTGCTTACCTGTAATGTTTACTGGTTTCAAAAAAAAGATGTGAAAGAATACCGTCATTGAGATAGTCTTGCTTTCTGGTTAGCATAAGTGGATTGCAGAATGAGCCATCAGTATTCAGTGCTCAATATCTTTATGTCATCTATTATTCATCACCTTTACCTTTTGAATTTGTCATTTAAAACCACACTCTAGTGGTATGAAATTATTGTGAAGATTAACTTTTAATATTTGAAGTCTCCAGTTACTTGAGTAAAGTAAGACTATTTTAATTTTTTGAACGATCTTTTTTTTCTTCTTTGCTGACTATGCAGTTTTTTTTTTTAGCTTAAAATAATAGTGAAATAGGTTATCTCATTAAAAAAAAATCAACAGTAAACGTTTACAAGTCAGACCAGATTTGTTAAGGAAGATGTGTATTCAGAGCCATATCTAAGAGTTCAAGGAATGAAACATACGTAGTTATAGTCTCAGTTCTGGCGGAGCTGCATTCCTTCTTTGACTCAACAAATATATATTGAGTAACTAAATGTTGAGGTCAAAATCCGGGTAGATGCCTGCCCTCAAGGAGCTTTACTGTCTCAAAAGGGAAACAAGTAAGTAAACTGATGAGTAAGTCAGTACTTCAGAATGATATGTAAGATGCTGCATGTCACAATGCAGAATGTCTTGGCTTGTAGTCAGCACACCAGAGTTCAGACTCATTTGGTCACTTAGGACAAGTTTTGTTCTTGTTTTTTTCTTTTCTTAACTTCCTGTGGTAGAATTGATTTTCTCATTTCTAAAATAGGGATACTGTCTGATGGGATGATTTTGCGGATTAGGACCATATGTAAATATATGGATAGTTGGTGGGGGTTTTTTTTTTTTTTTGGCAAAAGTTTAGGAGTTTAAAAGAGGGTGAATTAAAGTTTTTTAGGATGGGTGATACCTGACTATTTAAGATTAGTATATGCTCCCAAGTTGATGAGAGAGAAATGAAACATCTTTGAAAGTTGGAGGCCTACTAGTAGTAGTTTGTTACGGAGCAAGGAGGATTTCTGCTTGGTTCTCAAATTTAGGTGTGCATTAGAAAACATTGTGGAGATTACAAATATTGCTAGCTGGAATTCCTAGATAATATTCAGTGAGTCTGAGGTAGAACTTGGGCATTTCTATTTTTAGCAGCCTTAACAGGAGACTTTAACATATATGAAATTTACTGTTTTCTGATAGGGTAATCCTGAAACACATTTGAAATGTTTGTTTCCCTTTACTCTTGGGTGTATATTTTGTGAGTTAAGTTTAAATTTAAAAAAAGATTTTTTTTTGTTTTGTTTTGTCTTGTTTGTTTTAGTATAGACTGTCTCTAATAAGGTATCAGTGTATATTTCATAGATGTAAGAGATACAGTTGATGAAGTTTTGCACTGGTTAGTACACCAGTATCAGATCAGGTATGACTATTAGAAAGTTGGGGGGAAAGTTGAAGGTGCTATAGAAGGTGGATTGATGGTTGTAAGAGTGGAGACAAAGGAGATCAGGTAAGTATTTAACAATAGTGTACATGAGATTTGAGGGCCTAAATAAAGGCACTGCTGGTGGGAATTCCAGGACAATTAAAAAATCTTTTAGTAGGATTTCATTCCACTTAGATTTAGTTGGTGAGGGAAGAGAATTAGGTTAGAGTCAGGTATAATCACCAGCAGAAAAAGTATGCAGAAACATGCATACTTTTGGAAATATGCCTTGTATTTAAGGCATATATAATGTAATATAAGAAATATGCCTTGTATTAGACTCCAGGTTGGTGATTGGTTTAATGGAAGAGGTGAATCTTGAATCTATTTTGCCACCGTTTTAAAAAATAGTTTTTGTGAAAGATGAGGTTTCACTTAAAGTTATATGTAATAAGTCAGTATATGTTAAGTACTTTTACTTAAGTAGTTCTGATGCAATTCATTAGCTGGGGTATTTTCTTAGAACAATTAAGAGTTTAAAAACAAGATTATCAAAAAACCCATCAAGATTATCAGGTCTTGGGGTACCTGGCTGGCTCAGTCCGTTAAGCCTCTGCCTTCTGCTCAGGTCCTGGGATGGACTCTACCTCAGGCTCCCTGCTTAGCAGGGGACCTCCTGCTCCCTCTCCTCCTCATTTGTGCTCTCACACTATCTCTGTGTGAGATATTATTAATAAATAAATAAAATCTGTAAAAAAAAAAAAAAAAAAAAAGGACTGCCAGGTCTTATTTTGTAGTTAGTTCTGTTGTACTGTGATTTAACTTACTTTCTGTAGAGTATATGCCATCTTGCCAAGTGAAGTTTAATATATGTAGTCCTGAAAAAGAAATTCAGGATTGGGAAAAGTAAAACCTTATACTAGCTCTCTACAACCATCTTTGGGTTGAGGTTAGTAATGTTGACTGCTGCTTGTTTCTACCATGCTGACCTGGTTTATTTCAAGATTTAATGGTGCTTAAGGAGCCATTTTTATTAACCATTTTAAATCCTCATTTCTTGATTCCTCAGTACTTGTTTTAACTTGCTTATATTCTTTTGTTAGTTTTTCAGTTTGTTTTCTCACCCTGTATATAATTCTGGGAGATTAGACCTTATGCCTATGTAGTTTTCTATAATTTTTAAAACATCTAGTGTACAGATCACTGAACACTTATTAATTAATTATACTTGCTAACTCTTTTATTCCTTAGGAGCTCATTTAGTATTTCTCATTGCTTAGTCAGGTTGTTAAAGTCTTCAGTTTCTGATACAGGTTGTATTTGTACTTTAATCTCCCTCTATTAGAACAGAATGGTTGGGCGCCTGGGTGGCTCAGTGGGTTAAGCCTCTGCCTTCGGCTCAGGTCATGATCTCAGGGTCCTGGGATTGAGTCCCACATCAGGCTCTCTGCTTGGCAGGGAGCCCGCTTCCTCCTTTCTCTCTCTGCCTGCCTCTCTGCCTACTTGTGGTCTCTCTGTCAAATAAATAAATAAAATCTTAAAAAAAAAAAAAAGAAAACAGAATGGTTTAAGTCAGATGCTGAATACAGGTGGTAATAGCCGCTGTCCCAATAGTTACTTTGTTTCTGTTTTAAATTCTTACAATAGGTTTATAGGAAGAGGTGCCTAGTGGGATCATTGTTTTGATGAAGGCCTGAATTAAGGCAGCACTGGTGGGAAGTTAGGGCTGAGAATGTATTTCGCCTTGAGTA